ACCAAATAAAAAGTTATGATACAAATATGGTGCTAGTACCTAAACCGGGAAGAGCCAAAACAGAGAAAGAATATTATAGACCAATTTCCCTAATGAAGATAGATGCAAAAATTTTAAATAAAATATTAGCAAAGAGATTACAGCAACTTATGTCGAGGATAATGTACTATGACTAGGTAGGATTTATACCAGGAATCCAGGACTGGTTCAATATTAGGAAAACTATCAGCAGAATTGACCTATCAGCAACAAAACAAACAGAAATCATATGATTATCTCAATAGATGCCGAAAAAGCTTTTGACAAAATATAACACCCCAGTCCTATTGAAAAAACACTACAGAGCATAAGAATAAATGGAGCCTTCTTTAAAATGATAGGTAGTGCCTTTCGGTCCGAGCTGTAGTAAGGGGCTGTGTAGGCAGCAACGAGTTCCCCAGCTTTTGGCCCACTCTCACTGGCTTTCTTCCTCCCACTGCAACACCTTGCCCCTCTGGAAACATGATGGAACAGGCCATCATCTTTGCCAAAGACTTCCTGGCCAATGGCATTACTGCTGCTATCTGCAAGGCTGCTGTGGCCTCCGTTGAAAGAGTTAAGCTACTATTGTAGGTGTAGCATGCAAGTAACCAAATTGCTACAGATAAACAGTACAAAGGCATAATGGACTGTATAGTCTAAATTCCAAAGGAACAAGGGGTGCCTTCCTTCTGGCAGGGTAACTTAGCAAATGTCATTAGGTATTTCCCCACCCAAGCCCTTAACTTTGTCTTTAAGGATAAGCATAAGCAGGTATTTTTGGAAGGAGTGGACAAGCGCACACAGTTTTGAAGGTATTTGCTGGCAATCCTGCCTCTGGTTGTGCAGTTGGAGTCACTTCTCTCTGCTTTGTCTACCCCTTGGATTTTGCAAGAACCCTCTTGGCAGCTGATGTTGGGAAATCTGCCACTGAGAGAGAATTCAAAGGCCTGGGAGACTGCCTTGTTAAAATCACAAAGTCTGATGGAATTTATGGATTCTATCAAGGTTTCAGTGTCTCAATGCAGGGTAACAATATATAGAACAGCTTACTTTGGAATCTATGATACAGCAAAAAGTATGCTCCCAAATCTGAAGAACACTCACATTGTGATAAGTTGGGTGATTGCCCAAACAGTGACTGCTGTAACAGGTGTGGTCTCCCATCGCTTTGGTAAAGTAAGGCGGTGAATGGTGATGTGGTCTGGGTGCAAAGGAGCTGATATCATGTACACTGGGACAATTGACTACTAGAGAAGGATTGCTAAAGATGAAAGTGGCAAAGCTTTCTTCAAGGGTGTCTGGTCCAATGTTCTTAGAGGCATGGATGAAGCTTTCATGCTTGTCCTCTATGATGAATTGAAGAAAGCAATCTAAGTACATCTTAACTAAAAAAGGAACCAGTGAATATAGATCATACAGAATACTTAACCATACATAACCATTAACATGACCATTTTGGACCATTGACCTTCAAGAAATTCCTATTGTCTTTTTATCCAGGCTCGATCATGTTTATAAGGGAGCTAGGAAAAGCTCTTAGAAAAAGGGACTCATTTGTTGTGATCCATTATTCACACGGTGGAACTGATGATGATTCAATATATTTATTGATTCGATTGGTTTTTGGGAAAATGACAGTTACTGTGGGTCTAAGGAGGCAGATTAACTTAGACCATCTGGTTTAAATGCTCTTTTGTAGGACCATAAATTTGTGTTTAAGAATTTATTTTTTAAAAATCATGTCATCCATTTGTACTTAAGCACTATATAGACTGTTTTGCATGGCTGACTATTTGGCAGTTATAATGATCTATGTTGGGCATTCTGCTGTAAAACAATAAATACACAGGAGACTCAGAAAAAAACAAATGATAGGTAGCATCTGTCTAAAACCATCAGCAAGCATTATATGTAATTGGGATAAGCTAGAAGCATTTCCAGTAAGATCAGGGGTGAAACAAGGATGTCCATTATCACCACTGTTATTGTATTGTACAAGAAATTGTACAGCATTGTACAAGAAGTGTTAGCTTTAGCTATAAGAGAAGAAAAAGAAATTGAAGGAATTAGAATAGGCAAAAAAGA